GCCCCTAGCGATGGACCTGACTCTATCTGGTGGTCCATTCTGAGAGGGTTTAAAGAGGGTATCGATAGATAGAATCAGAGACAAGAGACCTTCCACTGGCATCTTGACAATGATGGAAGCTTTTACTTTCGGGACTCCAACACTCGGCTGCTGACCTACCTACTAGGTGGATGGTTAACAACGTGTTAAGAATTTCGTTTTGCAAACAAACCGAAGAGCCCTGTGTCCACTCATCAAAATTGGGTCAAAATGGAAGCTCAAGCAAAGTAAATCGATAAATACGATCTGTTCGCGATTGTTGATCAAAAAATAGTCGCGCCGCTCTATTTTGAGTTGCAACACTCATCAATCGCCGTCGAAATTGATTCACTTTGAGCTTCCATTTTGGCGCCACTTTGACGAGTGCAGACAGGCCTACGGGATACTTTCCGGGCTCTTGACGTCACCCGAAGTTCTTCATCCACCCACTAGGCAAGATGACTGTTGCTCCCGTGTAATTGCCCACAAGGAAGCGTTGCATCCCCGAAAGTAAAAGCTTCCACCTGTCGCCAAGAGGCCAGCGGAGGGTCTCATGTCTTCGGTTAGGACGTGGACGCCGAATCGCGCGGGGCGGGAGCATGCGGCACCGAGGGAAATTAGATAATCCGCCGGGGTTCGGATCGAATCCGGCTCATATGTTATAAACGTTACATCATCCGCATCTAGAGCTCATTCCCTCCTGCCTCGGCCGCCTCGCCGAGCACACTTCGCTCCTGATTATCCGCCGTTCCGTTTTGCTGCGGTATCATTAGACGTTCCTCAGACGGACGACGTCGATGCGCCTCGCGCTCCGCGCAGGCTCCGAGCCCCGTTCCGTTGTCGCTTCATTTCCCGCGTCCAATTTCCAGCCTCCCGTCCTCGGCAGCAACGCCGTAAGAGGCCTCCAATCTTGCCAAACCTCCGCTTGTCACACTTCAAAAAATCTCCGGCCGGCCAACGGTGGATCGAGTCAATCAGAGAGGTCGGAGAAGAAAATTTTGACTAAAACTGTACACTTTTTGTCTATTACGTCTCATTTTAAATTTTGAGGGGTGCCATTTTTAGAGAATTTCACGAGGAAACCAATGAAACCACTTTTAGAATTTCCAAGTTTTGTATAAACGGAGTTATAAGCTTTTAAAGTTTCCCAATTTTGTCCGACCCCTCTAATTGACTCGATCCACTGTGCGGCCGTGGAATAGTCGTACTCACGGACATACTGCCGTGCTAAGGAAGAGCGCCGTACGAACATTCGAGAGTTGTCTGATCTCCTGTGATGAAACATGTATTTTTTACAACATTCACGCATTTTTCCCTTGAAATTCTCAGATTTTCAGGTTATATTACGAACAAAATGTTCTGAAAATTCTGGAAAATAATATTCACAATTTCCCCAGTATTTTTTTCCACAGCTCAATTTTCCACATTTCGGCAATGTGTGTTTTAGGAGGAGAAATTTGACAACGTTTAAATGTGCTCACAATGCTCCTGCCGTCGCGTCACACGGCAGCCTTTAAGCCTCCAAGCTATATGCTAGAGCGCTTACACAGTGAGAGAATAGATGCCTTGAATTCCCGTTCTGATTGGCTCCCCCGCACCGTTACAGGGCTCCGAATAACCGAGCTCGGAAATAAAGACGTATGAGCGTTCCTACGTTGCAAAATTTCTTCCAATGATGTGCCATCAATTAGTGATCGCTGAAATTGCAACGCCGCGCCACTCAAGACGTGAGCTTGAAAATGCATCAACAGCTTCGAATTATTTTCCAATTTGCGCCATGGCGTTTTCCAACGGATGATTTAAAGGGCACTAAGAGTAAGAGGGAATGACTGTTACGCGCATCGGAATTTCGCCTTCAATTGTCGAGATAGGCAAGGGGACATACTCCGCGCAGCTATAGTTATCTATTTCAGGATTTCTATCTCGTGTTAATGTTAACTACACATCTTGCCTGGCAGGAAATTATACCTATTCATATTCTTTAGAAGATCTTGAAGAGAGATCTGCTATTCTGTGCTTAATAATGAGTATACAATGCAAACCCAACAATTTATCCCCAAACTAAGGGGATGAAGTTATGAAAGTGTATGCGCAGAAAACGCCATTAAAGCGTAAAATTGGATCAAAGCTGGCCGTAGAATGGCTATGAAGTGACTTTTAGAGATCAATCCTAGTCTTTACCTTGTGATGATAGTGAGTAATATGTTCAGCAGTGCGTTTTGACGCCCTGGACGCAATGTGATTAACTTTTTCGACGAATTTCTAGATGGGCCATTCATCGACCTGAGGGCTAAAGTAATGAAGAACGTCCATATACTGAAAGGGGAATGTGCAAAGATTGTCCATATACTGATCGTCGTTTAAAGAAAAAATTAAAAAAATAATTCACCCAGGCTACTAAAAGTGCCAAAGGAAAAACGCCGTATGAACATTCGAGAGTTGCCGAATTTCCACCGAAAAAACGTTTATTTCTGAGGAAAGTTAAGAATATTTTTCCTTGACATTTTCAGGAGCTTTAAGTGATATTACTATCAAAATTATCTGAAAAATTGAAAGAAAAATATCCATAAGTTCACCAAGGAATTCAAGTTCAATCAAAGGAAATTTGGCAACGCCTAAAGGTCCATACGGCATTTTTCCTTAGCACGGCGCAACGCATGCTCTCATCAAATTCAAATTCACGAAACAACGGTTTTTCGTTTTCCATTCAAGTGCTTTTGACAGTTTTACTCAGATATATAATTGCCACTGAAACCGAACGGTAAATACATTTTTGAATAAGCAAAATTCACTATGTGGCAACACTGCTACAATATTATTTTAGACGGTGAGTAAACTTCACACAGCACAGGAGCTTTCCTTCCACTTGAAAGGAAAGAAAAAGAGATGGGAAACTAAATAATGCAATGTTGTTCGCACTCATTTCTCTTCTCTCACTGTAAATGCTGAATGAAATTAAATAGAATAACTGGTGTCTCACGCGCTGGAGCTCTGCGAAAAAAAAACACTGGGTTAATCTGTCGAGGAATTTGTTTGCTCCCGTAAGTGGATAAAAAAGTGTCTGTGAACGTCTAAGCCTATTCGTGTAGATTAAAGTAAAAAAGTAGGATACTTTCCATTACTTTCTGTGGAGCTGGAATTATGTTCAATTCGACTTTTACTAACGCCGCAGCGACGCACCGCAGCCACATTCACGAGAGCTGAGAAAAATACGCGCTGATTTCTCTCTCATCAGCGTTTTTTTTTCAGTTGCCAACTTGATGAAAAAAAAAAATAAAATAACCTCCCTGATGGTTTCATGGTCGCTAAACCGATATATTAGACGCACATGGACCGCTTTGGTATACCAATTGCTCCAGCAGTTGTGATAGTCCACGGGAAAAGTGACTTAGTAAACAAAAAAATCATAACTTAGTTATTGCTACCAGACCATGAATGAGAATTCCGAAGACACTGCGGAAAGAACGCCCGACGTAGAAAATACTAGTAAATTGCAAGAATTTCTCAAAAAACTTACTCTCGATTGAAATCCTCTTTAAAGCCGTGATGAAATATTTACGGTCAATACAAAAAAAAAAAAAAAAAAAAAAAAAAAAAAAACGCGACAAATGAATGATTGGTGCAATAACTAACATTTCTTCCTTGGCGCCTTTCCTCAGCGGAACAACGCCACGGAGTCTTCGAACGCAATGGTACAAATTTTTGCGTGTGGTTTTACTGTCCTCCTTAATTATTGTTGCGACTATTGATAGCGTGTTGTAATATGTAATGGGCTAAACATTTCGGTTAACATTTGGTATGGAATTTGTTCACAGAGCACATTTTGGCCGGTTGGGCCTAAGACCAGCATGCACCTGGCCATCTTAATAACAAGTAAGTGTCTCCTTTGAATTTTCAGACTTGTCTCCCCTCTTTTTCTTTCTTTCTTTTACTTCTTTCGAGGAACTGAGCTACTCTCTTGAAATCATGAGACCTGGAGATATTTCATTTCTTCTCTTCTAGTTTACCATTGGCGGGAGCGTATTAATTTTCCACGCCGCTTTCTGAGTGTTTCACCAGTTTTAGACCATTCATGGGACGCCTGTAGGGATTCATTTCAACAAATCCGACCTGAAGAAAGAAAAACACATTTTACTTCTGAGGCAGAAATGGATGATACCTTTTGCAATTCAACTCTAGGTGCTTTTGTAAGAGCTAGAAATGTTAGTTCCTATTCTTAAAATGCATTCCAAATGTTTTGGAATACTCGGAATAAAATAGGGTAGTCGACACAACCAGCGGCTAGTTAAAAATNTAACCCGGTATTTATCGTCACCACCGCACGGTAACTGGCGCATTTTTAACTAGCCGCTGGTTGTGTCGACTACCCTATTTTTTCCGTATAGTAGGTATATATCTATCTATATTTTTACTTGACTAAAAGCTTCTCGTACGATTTTGATACCAATTTCTATCCAGAGGTGCCTGACACCCCATGAAGTCTTTTTTGTAATTAATAATACGAGGAAAGAGACAGGGAGGAGAATAACTGCTTCTTTAAAGCGTTACATAAAAATGTATTCGAGAAATACCTTTACCCGTCCAAATAGCCCCGCGCTTACATGAAAATCGAGAGTTCCTACTCGCAAAACTGGCATTGGCCACGTGTTTTTGGCCGAATCACCTCGAAATGGTGCTTTAAATATTGCGTAAACCCCGTCGTTCGGGTACTAGTTTATTCATCTTTATTTATCTTCATAAACCGAAGCGACCGACCAACCTGGCGGTAATTTGAAGACCGCAGTCGTATCGCTTTGGGTGCCTCTCTGTAAATAAATTAGGATTCACCGGCAATCAGTATCATCTACTTTACGAATAGATGCTCTTGAACTTCCATCAAACAGCTAAGGCCGTTCATAAAATACGTAACGCTGAAAATCAGGGTTTTTTACCCCTTCCCCTCCTCTCAGCGCATACTCGTAACTCAATCTACTCCCCCCCAAAAATTACGGTTCGATTCTTTCACCTCAAATCAGCGTTTTCGGATGTATACTTTGGATGAAATTTTATCACCTCGCGCTGATTGTCATCTTAGCTTTTCGAAAAATTGGCGCTGAATGCCGGTTTTAGCGTTACTTACTGCAGCCATGAACACCCTCCTCTCCTGTAATGTACCCGTTAAGCTGGCTCAAACTTCCCCGCCCCCTCCCTTCCGAGCCTTACGTATTTTATCGACGGAAACCTGTTTCAAACTTTCCGCCGACACTGAAAAAGAAAACCAACACAACTGAGCGTTTTATCGATTTCGGGTGATCTGTATCGGAAGAGCATATAGGTCATGCCTCAGAGATTTAAACGCGCGGACTAAAAAGTAACCGTTTATTTGGACATAATAATCAAGCTTCTATTGAAGATACTCAATATTTTAATTTGATTTCATATCCTCGAATTACCTGAAAAAATGACTCGTAATGAGGTTATGACAAATGATAAGTGACGTCCCCTCTTCTCCCCTCACAATTAAATACTTACAAATTTTCCAAAATCAAAACAGTCACAAGCTTTCGGTGTAAATAGTAATATTTTATGAAAGCTTTGTCGACAATGATTTGGAAGACTTATGACGACCTATCTGACTTAGAAACCGATATATAATTGAATTGGGTCAAGAATTTCCCATGAGCTGAGAATATTTTTGGTATCATTTAATGACTATTTTGGGGGAANGGGGGGGGGGGGGGTGAGCAAGAGCAATTAAAGGATCGGCGTCGCGTAGTTTGTGCACCAATCATAAGTCGTCTGTGTTAAATACAGAAAAATCATAGGGACTCAAAAGGCATAAGTACAGTTTTTGCTATTCCGAGAAATACGTGTTTGAACTTTCAAAATTTCATGGATCCTTATGGCGGAAAGAGAGTTCAAACTGAATTTTCAATGCTTAAAAATGAAATTTGGGAGCCAATTTGTTTACAGAATATGCATTAAGACTAGTCTTACTTGGAATCATTGATAACTCGATTGTTTCAAAAACTGGAGTTATGCATGCGCCTTTGTCCTCCGAACCCCTTAATTCTTCTCTCAAGAATGCATCAACATGTTTTAAGGCCAAAGCAATATTTCTTTAAAAAAACGAGTTTAACATTGTCACAGTGATGCAGTAATATCACGCCGAATTGCCACGAGACTATGTACCATTACTCCCCCCCCCACCGTTCTGGGTCTTTTCAAGAACTGCACACAAATGCCCATCGATAAATCACGAGCTCGGAGCTGAGAGTCATTCAGCTAAAACAAAAAGCGGGAGGCCTACAGATCGCTTCAGACGGGACGGGCCTTCAATTAGCCCAGTATTAATTTCGTAAGAGCAGGCGTATTAATTGAAAAATAATTGAATAACAACGGCTAATGGCGGTCGGAGAGCGCGCGTTCACTTTGTACTCGGAATGATTCTTAGGCTCAGCGAGCGCATGCGGAGATGGAGAACGACCTTTCGCCGTGTCTATAATCCATTCTTGTTAGATTGATGACAGGCGTCAACGCTTGACGGGGATCTTTGACAAACGCTAGTCAGGTCATGGAAGCGCCAGAGCTGGAGTCAGAAACAAGAGCAACTTTTACGAGTACACCCACAGATTTTCGTAACTTGGATTCAAGCTGTAATCTGCGCGAGCTAACACTTAATCTCGGACCAATTCCTCATGCATGGAGATGATCGGTAGAACAGTGTCAAAATGTCAGTTACAGTCAAATTTTCTACTGGTCTCCAAGATAAGTGAAACGATAATCTCGGATCAATCCCTCGTGGAAACGATCAGTAGAACAGTGTCAAAGTCAATCGAGTTTAGCAGAAAGGAACCAAGCCAAATCAGCTACTGCCAAAGTTAACCGGACAATTTAATTTTTTACAAGAAAATACTTGTGCGGATTCCTTTGAACATTTTAAGGAATTTGCTTCATACTATGCAGAAAATTCACTAAAATTTGCACAAAAATCCGCGCAACCGTTTTCATGTAAAAAAATTAAATAACCCAATAAAATTTGGCAATAGCTGGTGTGGCTTGGTTCCTTTCTGCTTAACGCGGTCGACTTAATCTCGGATCAATCCTTCATGGAAACGATCGGTATAGAACAGTGTCAAAATGTCAGTTGCAGTTGAATTTTCTACTGATCTCCAAGATAAGTGAAATGAAGGCACAGACAGGACCGAATTAAAAGTTGGCGTATGAAGAGCGGCTGGACTAAGTACTAGTAGATCAAGGGTGCTAAAATGAAAAATAAAATTCATTAAATTTGATGAAACTGATAAATAACTTTTTTAACCTATACATAGGACAAGCGAAAGCACTCTACATAAGGCCCGAATACTGTAACAGGCTGGTAGAATCATATTGGGTCCATATTATTCTGCGGAAAAATTAAAATGAGAAAAATTCAAAAATTAGAATTAGAGACGCAAAATGAATTTAAATGAGTTTCAGTGCAAGCCTGAGGATGAAATGGTTCAGCATTATTGGGTATTCATCCACCTAATGTCCGCCTTCAATTTTGCCGCATATGCAACATGCAACAAACATCCTGGAAAGCGGATCAGTTATCGTATCGTAATGCTGCGGAGAAAGAATTCGTTTTGATGCCTTTCAACGATCGGACACTACGAAACGTCTCCTCAAAATTTTGTTCTGTGTTTATATCCACACGATCGATAGATACACGACAACTGGCGCTGGACATGAGTTCAACATCAAACAGCTTCACCTAACAATTCCATGAGGTTCGGACTGTGACATGAGGTTCGGACGTTGAGACTGGACTTACTGCTCACTTGCTCGCTGAGTGTTGCATCATTAAGACTTTGCGCCGCGTCGCACAGAGGAGAACCGTCGGGAGAGGTTGGACATGAAATGTTTGACTATTACTGCAAATTCTAATGTTTATTCGTCACATTAAAATGTTTAACGACTACTTTCCTGAGGAAATTTTACGAGAAAACCAATGAAACCACTCTTAAATCTTCGCGTTCCGTAACAAAGAAAAAGCTTTTAATGGTTCTATATCATGTTCAATTTCATCCATTGACTTGTTCCACTGTGAGTCGGTTCACTCATTTGCTCAGTGATAGAGCGATTCGCTCTTAGTTAATAAATTTCACCTCAGCAGTCACCGCAGGGTTGCCACTTTCGAGGCAGATGGAGCACCTGATCCAAGCTTTGTGCTTTGAAACTTTTTCCCATCTTTTTGAAAAAAGTGGGTTTGTCACACACTTGACACACAGTCCACTGAGTAGGCATACTGTTGTAGAAATCGCACGAAAATGGCTCGAAGCATGTGTAAAGTGCGTAAAATACACCTCAAGAAACAAAAGCGGAGTCTGTACCACGCATTTTCAAATTGTCTGCGTCTAAGGACATTTTTTCTCAATTGCCAGAATTCAGTTTTGTCCAGGATAGGTTCGTAAAAGCCTAAGGACGGAAAAAATCTGGTAAAGTGTCATCAATAATTTCTACCGTTTAAAGAATTGGCTCCTGCATTTTTTCTTAACGAAAAGAAAACTAATTTATTAAGATTGAAATCATACGTATCTCGATCGACCCCCCCCCCCCCCCCCCCCCCCCTTACCCCCTTCGTGATCGCCCAAGAATGCGGAAAATTAGAAAATGCATGGGATGAGCTGTAACAATAAAAGTCGTGCGTACGGTCTGCGGTAAATTTTCCTTTTTGCAGGCATGCTCAGCGTAATTTTCGCACAATTTTATCTGATACGAGTACCCGCAATTCGTACATACCCGGTTGAAGATCTGCATCCAATGGATGGAAGAAATGCACTTTATATATTGCCTGTTAGTCGCCGTACGGTAAAACATGGTCCCTGAGAATTTGCCCGTCTTGGCAACGT